CAGTTCTCTTTATTAAAAAAAAAAATCAGCATGCTCTTTTTTACAGCCATTACCTGTCTTCTCTGAATACCATATCAATTTGCTTCTATTTGCTTGAGTTGTTAAGCAGTGAGGCCTGTGTGGGTGGACTCCTGTTTCCCACAGTTCCCTCTTCCTTTCTGATGTTGTGACACTTATTAATTATACCCAAGTTCCATTCCCCTCTGGTTTTCACAGTTTCTGAAGCTGGTTTGTCTGGTTTCTTGTCATTCTTGTTTGTGTCAGGTAGCTCCACTATGACTTGCTCTGCTTGCTCTTCAGAAGACTCAGAGGTCTGGTTTCTCAAAACAAGGGCTCAGAAAAAAGGTAGTCTAAAATGTGCATATAGCTTGGGTTCCAGAAGTTCCTTTTAAAAATCATTATTGAGAAATCAGCATGTTTCCACAAAGAAGAAAAACATTATAGGTGATGGTATGTCCCCAGATGAGTTCAGAAAATCAAACTTAACAGATAATGTGCCTAAAACGTATGACTGTAATAGTAACATCACAGAACCCAATCACCTAATATTTCTGTGGGGGAAAAAAAATCACTCAGTAGTTGAGGCAAAAAGACAAAAACGCAGCAGGGAGACAAGATCGGAGCCCTCTTCCTAAGGATACTACAAGTTCTTAAGAATTTCTGTATTTTAGAGAAATATCCAAACCAGTTTCCTGTTTCATCAAAGGATCTAAGGGAGAGTTGTGACACTAGGTATAAGAGTCAGAGCAGAATACAGAGATAGGACTTAGAAAACAACAAAAGCTGTCTTCTTTCCTTCTCCCAGAACCAACCAGTTTGGCCATTTCAGACCCAACCCTAAATCAACTCAAGAGAAAAGATAACAAATGAAACTTTTTTTTTCTTTCTTTCTTGTTTTGGTAGATAAGAGGGTTCCAAGCATTAGAGGGATCTGGAAGAGAATAAGAAGGAAAAGGGGTGCCTGTGGTTCATTAGACAGTCCAAGATGGACAGTGGCAGGTAAATGATGTATGTAGTGATGGACATGTGCTGAAGATGGTCTATTTAGCAAAAACAATGAATGTCTCTGCAGAGCAGTCCTTAACTTATTGAAATCCTCACTGTCAATCAGAGAGGCACATCCAATTACAAGTACCTGAAAGTGTCTTTGAGCAATTACAGTCGTAAGTTAACTAAATATATTTAGAAATCCAAATTCTGTTAGAAATAAGTTTAAAGTGCCATAATGTAGGATCAATCTACCAATTTCTTTCTTTTCTTTTTTTTTTTTTACCAATTTCTAATCTTTAACCCAATTCTTAACAGGAAAGATCGAGTCCTTTCCTATCCAGGACTATCATGGATACCTCAAAAAAGAATAAAGTAAAAAGAAAATTAATCCATAGGTCATTATATATGAATGGTATTTTTAAAAACTGAGATATAATTCACATATCACAAAATTCACTTAAAGTATACAATTCAGTGATTTTCAGTTATGTTTCTAAGGTTGTACAACCATACCACCATTTAATTCAAGAACATTTTCATCACCTTAAAAAGAAATCCTTGGCAACCATTAATCCACTTTCTGTCTCTTTGAATTTGCCTATTCTGGATATTTCATATAAATGGAATCAGACACATAGCTTTTTGTTTCTAGCTTCTTTCACAAAGCATGTTTTCAAGATTCATCCATGTTTTAACAAGTACTAGTAATTCATTCACTTTATGGTATAGAGATACCATCTTTTATTTATCTATGAATGGCATTTAAAAAATATACTTTTATTACCTATGTTAATTAACTCCCAGGATTACTCCATATTCAACTCAAGACACAATGTATTTATTCACACACTGATCTCTTGGCCCACAAAGTTATCAGCATTTTACTTTCTGTCAATTTATAAATCATCTCATATCCTATTATCTTCACTGTACTATGTCTCATAACTTTGGTACATACTTTCTTGGGCTTGCTGCCTAAAACCATTTTTCTAGAGATTGTCCCTTCCCTCCAACTTCTATATGGTTAATGTGACCCTGCTCTTTTCTAGAGGTGACTGGACCAGAAATAAGTACCTAATTTAAGCTGGACAATAAGATTCTTCACTAGGATTATGGAAATGGAAATAAGATTGTTTTTAATTAGCTGCTCTTTTGATTGCAGAAACTATAATCTCAGGAGTTTTCTGTTACCATGGTCTGCCACACAGACTAAGAAACCAAAAAAAAACAAAAACAAAAACAAAACCCAGTCTGCAAGAAGAGAAGAATCAGAGAAAGAGAGAGCCCCACCATTGGGTTCCATGGGACATACTATACATTTATAACAAATTTCCCTTACATATTAAGTCAGGTAAACAGGTTTCTATAATCTCTAGTCAAGAGTCCTAACATGATCATTTACTCAATAAAACTTTAATGTCTCTATCAGCAAGGGTTCAGTCTCCATGGTACCCATTACAGTGACTCAAGCACATACTTATTTAACTATCACCTGTGGAATATTTTGGAACACTATCTATAAAAATTACTTAAGACACTCTTGTATGAGTACGTGGGAAAAAAAGTAGGATTTCTATTTTATTAAAAAGCTACACTGTTTCACAGACTCAATATATCTTGTGCACATTTTGCAAAACTTCATTTAATTTCCTCAGAAAGTCTTTCTGTATTACATTACTACATGTCCATTTACACATGCTTAGTAAATGTTTTTAAATTTTTTAAACACCAGTGTTATATTTTCCTGAGAAGATTTGAAGTGTCCTGAGAACAAGTAAAGTCTATTTCCTCTGAGAGCAAACTCTCATAGAACCTACTAAGGAATAATCATACAGATTATTATTCAGAATATTCTTAGAGAGGTACAAGTGAGTGACTGACCTCCCTGGACTCATTTTTTCCTCCTATAAACAGGGTGTATTATCAAGCACTAATAATTCACAAAAGGACAACTTATCTGTAATTAAACAATACTAAGCACATATAGTTATCATACCATCTAGGTTGGGTAGGCAATAAAACATTCCTTAATGGACAGCTCAGGAAATGCTGTTCTAGCAAGCCTGATCTCTTCTCCCCAGTTGAGAGGTCCCTTGACACCACTGACATCTACAAAGCTAATATACTGCACATTCTAGGCAGTCTTCATTCATTTTGCAGAGTACTTTTTCCAGAATCAAATCCAGGATTTGTCACCAAATTGGTTTTTACTGGGGATAATAAAGATAAAACCAAAACTCCAAAGTATTTTCTTAAAACCCTATTAAAAATTCTATAAGGATAAATGGGCTAATCCCTCCCAGGCTAAGATTTGGTTCCTAAGTGGATTTTTGTATCACACTATTTAAGGTCACTACCTTCCCTCAGATATTCTTAATTTTAAAAATTATACCTCTAATATTACCAAGTCTTACAGAGATGGAATCCCCTTTAAATTATTACATTATTCCAATAGGGTACAATTTCTTACTGTATCAAGCACTGAGGCAGTTTCTAATGGTCTTGATTCCAAATTTGCTTCTCTGTAGCTTTAGAGAACTGTGTGGGCCAAAGGTCTGGGAGACAAGTTCTACTTATTTACTACTGCCTCTTTCCAAAAAAATTTCAGCCTCCAAGTTTAAAATATGGCCTAAGCTATTTGCTAAAATTTCCTTAAGCTATTAGGGTAGAAAGGAACTTTACAAATCTACTTCCACCTAATTATTCTACAAATGAGAAAGAGGTGGACAAGAGATAAATGACACACCCAAATTCACAAAGTAAATTAGTAAAACTAGCATGCTTAGAATAAGGCACTCAAGCTCCGGCTGTAGGCTCTTTACATCATACTATCTACCTTAAATGTATAAGGAAAGACAGTATCGAAATCTCTCTGCTTTCTGAGAGGAAAAAACAAAAACTGTTAACTTTCTGCTTTCAAAAATTAGGGGGAGAGGTGGAAGTAACACATTTTATTTCATAGAGAGAAATGGTCTTTTCTTAAATATCCTTCCAAACATCATGATTGGCTTAGCCTAGAGGATAAGTGAAATGAAACTGAATACCAGATCTCTGCAACCTGAAAAATTTTCACCATAATGAACTATGGCAGCTATTTTGTGTGTCCAAAGCTATCTCATCTTCCTTTTTCCATTAACAAAGTCTACAGTTTCTTGGCCAGAAGGATGTGCCCTAGATCTGACTAATCAAGTATCTCACATCACTGGCAAGAGTAATTGTTCTAAGTAAGGCAAACCAGAATCCTTCCCTGACGCTAAGAAAAATAAGCTCTCTCACACCATGTAGAGAAGGCAATCTGCAGTAGGAGAGCCTAAGACCAATATTCAAAGAGAAACAGAGAAGCAGAGATGAGAGATGGAAAGAGAGTCTGGCAACATCAAATCCTTGGTTTTCATTCCTCATTCCTGAGCTGGTTCCTTTGATTTTGTAAGTTAACCCTATATCTTTACCAACTATGGAAGCCAATAAATTTCCTTTTGCTTAAAATAATTTGAATTGGGCTTCTGTCACTTGCCACTCAAAAATCCTAATGTACTTAACCCAGAAGAGAGGAATGGATATACACATTATCCTTAATACAGAGAAATTAATAAACTATTGTTTTAAAAAAACAATAGACAGTCTCTACTATTCTTATATCTATCACTCCTGACATGCTACATTCAACAACATCACTGTGCCCATTATATGCCAGGCCCCGAGAGTATCCAAGTTTGCTAGCAGTTCCTTAGAATTTTCCTGGAACTTTTTTAAACCTAATATAAGTTTGTTTAATTTGATTTCCAATAAAAGTTGAATGTAAAATACATTCCAGGTAATGCAAGTTAAATGAGATCTACTTTACCTGGTCAAAAAGATAAATCAGACATCAACATTATACATAGCATACTGTGAGGCAAGTTTTTAACATTTAAAGCAAATCCAACAGAAACATGGCTACTTCAATATAATTTAGTAGCTTGTCTTTAATTTTACAATAGAAATCAACAACAACAAATCTCAGGACCCACCTCCAATAAGGCTCCAGTTTGGAAGAATTTCAAAGGCTTTTCAATGGAATAATAAAGGCTATGATAGCTGCCCTTAGCCAGGTATGCTCTGACCAGACCAACTGCTATAACGAGCCACCTAAGAAAAAGAGCAATCAGAAAAAAAAAAAAAGGTTAAGTAGGATTATAATAGAAAAACATGGCAAAGACAGATACTGCCAAAGGTGACCTCAAGAATCTGTCCTGGATTTATGGATTATCGACCTCAAATGCCAAGCTGTATGTAATGCACAGAAATGCTGCACCATCAGCAACATCCTACCAAGAGTGCTTTTTGCAAAAGCAGAGTGGCACCTCACCCATCTGGAGCTCGGCTTTTTTGGCAACCTTGCCTATTGAGAACAAGGCCAAAAGGAAGGGAATAAGCTAAATTGGTCCTTGAGGGGCTAAATTAGGTGCCAGAAAGTACAAGACAAAAGAAACTATTACAGGAAAATTTAATGCCCTGCGCAGTTAAAGGGTCTGTAATAATAACAAGGTAAAGATAAGATGTTTTAAACTATTTATATAAGTATCTTCCTGGTACCTTAAAAGTTGTTGTTTTAACAGACTACAAATGACATGAATAAATAGCTTTCTTTTAAAAGAATAAAAGGCTTTTAAGCCGAGATTCTCAAAATCAGTTCAATAAAGAAAGTCAGATTAATACAAAACCAAAACAGGGAAGTATTTAGGCATATGGCTCTGAACACATTTTTGTTCTACTCTCTTCCAAAATAAATTTCTCAGATCTTGTAGCTTTTTATTTGTTAAGTTCTGTACTGAAATGTTGTATACCTTTATTAAAGTATGTCTCCTTGAAGGTGCTAACAGATTTATTTATGTATACAATCTTAACTAGGCAATGGGGAATGTGGTCTGTTATTTCTAGAAACTATCACGCAAAGACATCAAACAAGAGTCTGTAAAAAAAAAAAAAAAAAGAAATGAATTCCTTAATGGTGTTACTGGTTCAGCACTGGTGGTGGTAGTTTAGCTGCTAAGTCGTGTCTGACTCTTGTGATCCCATGGACTGCAGCCTGCCAGGCTCCTCTGTCCACGGGATTCTACAGGCAAGAAAACTGGAGTGGGTAGCCATTTCCTGCTCCAGGGGATCTTCTGGACCCAAGAATCAAACCCTGGCCTCCTGCACTGCAGGTAGATTCTTTATCGATTAGTGGCCTAGAAAAAAGCTTACTTTACTCTCACGTCCCCAACTTGTCTTCCTGGTTTAAGATACCATTTCTTACCCTCCACCCTATTCTCTATGTTAATGGTTTAAAAATACTCTTTTCACCTTCCCCAATATATCTTAAAAATCTATCTTCAGTACAATGCCCTTACTAAGATGACAAGAATTTTTATATAGAAACACACACATAACACTCCTGCATATTCTTTTAAAATCACTGTGGCCATTTATGTGATAAAGCAAGCTTGCATGCAATATTTCTTCATTAGTCTTTGAGTCAAGAGACATGGGTTCTAGACCCAGAACTACTACTAACAAGTTCTGTGACTTCAAACAAGATAAGCAAGTCACAACTTCTCTGAGCCTAGGTTTCAATACTATTTCTAACAATAGTCATAAAGCTCCTATGATCTTCTCAAGATATATTTTGTGCATGTGTGTGTGTGAAAAAGCAAGGTGCTGAAATGCTAATAGATTAGAATTTGTATTTTTTAAAAAGGGTGGGTTATGATTGTACAATTTGCTTGTATCAGTATCTTAAAGGTACACAAAATTATCTGCCTTCGAGGGAGGAAACCTGTGTGGAAGGGAAGATAGGAGGGTAGATTTTCACTGTATGCCCTTGCATATATTTTCAATTTTGCATCTGGCCAATGTATTATCTAGTTTAAAACCAAATCAAATTAGATGTTCATTATACAGTTCTTTCAACTTTTCTGTATGTTTGAAAATTTTCAAAATAACATGTTAAGAAAAAAATTTTTTTACAAATGAATACAATTTAAAAATCTATATATTCGTCTGATCCTGTGATCAAAAATCAGGAGATCAAAGAACTGGAGAAACTTGGAGAGCGCCTAGCTCAACTCTTTAGTTTTTACAGATGAACAATCGGAGGTCTAGAGAAATTAAATGATTTATCCAAGGTCACACAGCTAGTCAGTGTCATAACTAAAACTCAAAACTCGCTGTGACAAGGGATGGACTGAAATAAGAAACTAGAGGGGGTAAAATCTGTTCCCAGGGTCTATTCCCCTCCTCCCCAGTAACTCTGCCTTCCATCTCTAGAGTCCTCCCCGCTCCAACCCATCCTATAAAGTCTAAATTCACCTAAAGCACAGAACTGCTCATGTCACTGGGAAAACTTTGAACGCTCTTCCACCACCTTTCACATTAAAGCTCATCGTGGATTTTGAAAACAGCCGCGGAAACAAATGGTCACTCTGCACCCACAGCTCCCGCCACTCCCTGCTCGCCATCCGTGACTTTCCTCCTGGGCTCTCCCCGCAGCAGGATCGCCCAGCACACCGCCCCCCCCGACCTAGACTTGTGGCCAGCCCACCTGTCCTCCCAAGGCCCTCCGAACTACCGCCTAGGCAGCCTTCCCCGAGCCCCCATGGAGCCTCGAAACTCCAGCTCGGGACACACCCGGTGCCTGGGAACTTGCTCGGCCCCCGGCCCGGGCGAGAGTCCCGGGTAGGCACAGGGGAGGATCCAGCCTCGGTTGCCCTCAGCGCCCAAGTGCCGGGGCCCGGACTCCCGCCGCCGAGGATGCGCTGCGCGTGGCGGGCCGAGCCGCGCCGCTCCTCCGGCCGCAGAGCTCCCTCCCCGGCCAGGCTCTCCCCCGCCTTCCCGAGCCCCAGCCTCACCCCGCGGTCATCACCACATTGTAGATGACCAGGTATGCCGTGGCCAGAGGCCCCGGGCCCTTTTTCTTCCGCGAGCCGCTGGCTTCGCCGGCCCCAGCACGGCCCCCGCCGCCCCCATTCCCCTTCGACGCTGCAGTCGCCGCAGCTGCCGCCATGTCAAGTGCCGGGCACCCACTATCCTCGCGCAAGCCCCACCGCCCGAACTGGGCACTGCGAGAGGGTGGGGGGAAGGACGCGGGAGAGGCGGAGCCGAGGCCGCGGGGCGGAGCCAGGGAAACCGCCTACGGCGGCCGCCATCTTGGAGGAGGGCAAAGACGCTCCCGGCGCCTTCCGCCCCTCCGCGAGCCTCAGGCGCCACCGCCATCTTGGAACGGAGTAATCACCGCCGCTTTTGCCCACCGGAGAATAACCTCTGGCGCCATCTTGATTAGGTCAATATTGTCTTTGGTCTTGCTGGGCAGGCTTGCTGTTTCTACCATCTAGATGTATCGTCGTCCGTGGTTATTCTCGTTCCTATAATTTCCGCCTCCATGTTGGATTAAGAAAATGATTCTTTCATTCTCTCTTGTCATCGTGACTTCTCCCAGTGAGCCTATCTTCTCCCCTAATGCGGCCCCGAGTAACCTCCCGTTTTGGGTCAGGTCAATTGACGCACATTTCATTTCCCATCGTACCCAGAGGCCGGCGGGAACTGCACTTTATGTTATCTTGTAGGTAGGTTGAAGATTTCAGTCCCCGAGGGTTATCCCCTGCCTTTTAAGTTACTTTTAAGTAGAGGTCTGTAGGGTAAGGGAGTTAAAGGCGAGGTTCGGAAAAAGAAAGAGACTGGTACTTCACAGGAACAAATCACCTTTAATGAGGCAAGAAGGGGCAGCAGTCAGATTAGTGAGCTGCTGCACTAACCCAAGCAAAGAGGAAGCATATATGTGGAAAACTACTGTCTTAAGGGGGCCGGTTCTTCTCCAACGTTGTTCGGAGTAGTTATCTCTTAAATGGCTGGGGCAAGGAATTCCGGAGGTCGGCCAGAGGCAGCTGGGCATAATCAACCTTGATGTCTTTTTTTTTTTCTCCTTTGGGTGAGAGAGTTCTTTGTTTTGCATAGAATGATGGGGAAGACCTGGAGGGGAGTTTTAACTTCAGGCTATTTTGAGCCATGTAATTTTCCTTCATTTTAGACCCTAAGGAATATATACAAAAAGAGAAAGAGAGGTGGGCACCGTTAATGTTCAAGGTCTCTTTGTGCTGATAAATGAGGGTCAGGGCTTTGTGGTCTGGGAGGAAGGAAGTCTAAGGCCCGTACTGTTGATTTTCTATTCTAGCCGTCAGGGTCTCAAGCAAAAGAACAGTTTGACTTGGTCTCGGGAAATGGCTCGGACTCCATCTTGGAGGAATCCCTGGAAAAGATTAAACAAACAAGGCCCAAAGGTGAGTAGGAGGATGATGAAAATGAATGGTCTGAGAAGGGGTAAAACCCAAGGCATCTAGTTCCAGTCTGTTAACCATGACTGCCAGGAATTGCTTAATCTCAGGTGGATTCATGAGGCTCCATCTGTAAGGTTTTTTGCAGCTCCTTGGACAATACCAGATTGGTTGGCATTGAAGCAGCAGGATTCGTCTAGAAAAAGGCATAGACTTCCCTTCTCTGCAGTGAGTAGCTCTAATCCTCTTCTATTTTGTAATACTATGGCCGCCAAGGAATCAAGTTGATTTTGAATAGTTATTAGGCCTTGAGCTATTTCATGGAGGCTGTCTGATAGGTCTTTAGATAGTGTCTGATAGTTTTGGATGGAGGTTGTTAAGCCAGCGGTTGCTGTTCCAATTTCAGCTGCTATTTCTAGTCCCATTAAGAGGAGAATGAAATGAATGGCTCGTTTGATTCGTTTGTGGATGAGAGTAATAGGCTAGGGTTGACCATTGAGGGCTATTTAAATGTTTGGACTGGAGTATAAAAGGGTGCAGGTTCTGATCTAATTAGTCGGTAGACAGAGGTGTGTAGACATCCCACACAGGAAATATAGGCCAGGTTTCGTAATGCAACAGCTAAAGTCAATGGCGAAGAGGAGTTGAGGGGAGGTTTTGATCGTTCATTCAAGGACGCTCAGAGGTTAAAGCGTCTGCCTCCAATGCGGGAGACCCGGCTTCGATCCCTGCTTCGGGAAGATACCCTGGAGAAGGAAATGGTAACCCACTCCAGTATTCTTGCCTGGAGAATCCCATGGATGGAGGAGCCTGGTAGGCTACAGTTCACAGGGTCGGAAAGAGTCGGACACGACTGAGTGACTTCACTTTCACTTTGATCGTTCATTCAAGGATGCTCAGAGACCCTGCTAAGGTGGCCTCAATGATGGGAGGTGGAGCAATATGTTGAAGGAAACCGCCCTGTAAAGGTTAAAGAGTGTCCTGTAGGACCAGAAACATTATATATAGCCCTTCCAGTGGCAAAGAGTAAGGTGGAGGTATGGTTGCACATGGACTTAGGGATTGTGTCCACGGGTTGGTCACATGAACTGTTTTGGGAATTTCTGAATATGTAAAAAGGAGCTGGTTGTGACAGTGTTATTTTCTGGGCAATAGGGCCTCCTATTGGAGGTTTTTTGTTGAAGGAGGGAAGTTTGGTGAGTAAAGATTTTAAGAGTATGTCTGAATTTCTGATTTGGTCACTAGTGTGAAGATATTTAAGATATGAGACAAATAAAGACTCTCCACAGTATGAGTGGTGTAGGGACATGTTACCTGTGGTCCAGTCGAGGATGGATGTGGGAACGACTGAATCTCCCAGAGGAATTATGGATAAACATATCCAGCAGTCTTTAGCCAATTGTGGGTTAGAAGCATTGAGAACAGTATGGGTTAAATTAAGGGTCCAGAATAGATAGTTGAGGTTAGCATTTGAAGGAGTTTGTAGGTCAGAGGAAGAAGGGAGGATAAGAAAAAGATGTTAAACAACATTTGGGGAAGTGAGTATAAGATAGATTATTATGGAAAAGAATTGGATTTTAAAGGGGTAAATGTTATAAAAGGTTCCCTGTAGCCACAGGGTGGAGATGTAATCTTCAATGTGTTCGAGCATGGATCCTTGAGGACTCGAGACCCAGATATCTGCCAGAAGTTGTGCCAGGAATAAATGTAGCCGTGAAACCGATAGGCTCGTCCGTTACCAGTTAGGGCCAGTGGAAGCCGTGAGAACTTTAGAGCTGTAGGGCCTGTGTGAGAGTGAGAAACTTGATAAGTATTAGTCTGACAAGCATTTTCATCGTTGGGCTGCATAACCTTTTTTTAACCAGGTGATGTGTACCCAAGGGGTGATTTCTTTTAATTTTGCAGCGGTAGGGGTCAGCCAAATTACCGTGTAGGGTCCTTGCCATTTTGGGGTTATCTGAGTGGGAGACTGAACTGCCATATAGACTTTGTCTCCTATTTGAAGGGATGGGTATGGAAGATTGGGGTGTGGTTGAGTGGGTAAGTCATCCATATGTTGCAGAGGACATCTTGTTTCTGGGCAAGTAAAGGAAAAGGAAGGTGGGAAGACAGTTTGGGACTGTCCTGGGAGGGGGGAAGACCCAAAGGTATTATGGGCCTCCCATACATGACCTCGAATGGACTGATATTTAGGGGTTTTTTTGGTAAGGCCCGGACGTTTAAGAGGGCTAAAGGGAGGAGTTTAGTCCAGTCTTGAAGTTTGATTGTTAATTTGGTCAGTTTCTTTTAGGACTTGGTTGGCTCTCTCAACCTTACCGGAAGACTGGGGATGATAAGGAGTGTGAAACCTCCAAGGAACTTGAAGGGCTCGTGCAATATTTTGGGTGATCTGGGGTGTGAACTTGGGCCCATTGTCAGACTGGAGGGAGGAAGGCATTTCAAACCTTGGGAGGATTTCAGTAAAAATAAGCTGAGCCACAGTAGGAGCTCGTTTGTTAGTAGTAGGGAAAGCTTCAATCCATCCAGAAAATGTATCTACGAAGACTAGGAGAAATTTAACCCTTATTACAGGTGGCATGTGGGTGAAATCTACCTCCCAGTCTTGTGCGGGAAGATGTCCATGAATTTGGTGGGTGGGGAAAGGAGGGGGGTGAATGTTAGACTTAGGATTTGTCCGCTGACAAATGGTACAGGTTTGGGTCAGATTTTTTAAATAAGTCACATCGTCCTTAGTTAACTCAATAAAGTCCTGAAGGAAAGTCTTAAGTACTTTTGTAGAAGGGTGGAAAAGGGAATGTAAATATGAAAGTAAGGTGTGGATGTTAGGCTCGTCGATTTGGGCTATAGTAAAGACAGAACTAACAGAGGAGGCCTGCCACTTTGCTTCATGATCTGCTATATTGTTATAAAAGGAGATAGGACTATGTCGCTGATGTCTCCGGCAGAGTATTACAGCAGCTTGTTTTGGGAGCTGAGCCACATGGAGGAGTTCAGAAATAAAAGAAGCGTTGAGAATATGTGTGCCCTTCTGAGTGAGGAATCCCTTCTCCCTCCAGATTATAATGTTAGAATGTAATATGTTATAGACATATTTGGAGTCAGTGTAAATGTTTATCTTTTGGTCTTTGGCTAGGGTCAAAGGTTGTGTAAGAGCTATCAGTTCAGCCTGTTGTGAGGATGTGTGAGCTGGGAGTGTGGCTGACTTAATGAGGCGAGGGGGGATAACTTTGTCGGGCTGTCCCTGAACTATAGCCTATCTAGCCCCAAATGGGGCTTGTTTCTGGGCACTGCCGTCTATGAACCAGGATGGGACTGTGGGGTCAGCAAGGGGCTGATCAGTTATATGTTCAAATAGATTAAGTGTCATATCTAAGGTCTGAACACAGTCATGAGATAGGTGTTTTGCTTCTGGATCTGATGTAGGGAGTAGGTGAGCAGTATTAAGAGGTATACAAGGCATGAAAGAAAGGGATGGGTCTAGGACGTGTGTGTGGAGGATTTGTAGTCGCGCAGGGGGCAGAGAAAGGAAAGCCCAATGAGAGAGTAAATCTTTGAAGGAATGAGGTGAGCATATATTTAGAAGAGCATTTCAGGTTAGTTGTTGGGCTTCAGGTATCAAGAGGGTGGTTGCAGCTACAGCCTGGAGACAAGGTGGCTATCCGAGTGTGACGAGATCGAGTTGTTTAGATAAGTAAACTAGAGGGCCCCATATGTCCCCCCTTTTTGGGCACAGAAT